TTAAAGCCTCCAAATTGTAAGAATAAACTCCTGTTTGTTTAAGCCATCCCATTTGTGGTATATTCTTGTCAGAGCAGCAGTAGGTAACCAGAACATTCATGTAGGCTGATTTTCCCATGGTCTGCTGGTCTATGGATTAGTTGTTTCTGTCTGTCTTTTGTTTTCTTCACTCTGCTTTGCTTTGTTTCTTTTCTTTTTTATTTATTTTAAATTTTTTTTTTTTATTTTTTATTTATTTTAAATGCATTTTATTGAAATATAATTTATGGACAGTGAGATACACAAAACTAAAGTGACATGGGTCAATGCATTTTTTCTTTTTCCTTTTTTTTTTTTTTGCAGTGTCCCCAGTCCTCACCTCCCACCCCTGGCAACCAACAAAGAAAGTTTCCCTCCATATATAAACCTTTCCTTGACCCTCCACAATGATGAACTAATACTGTATTTGTTCTTCTGTGACTGACTTAGTTCACTCAGCACAGTGTCCTCCAAGTCCATCCACACCATGCGGTGCTTTGCAGACTCCACATCACTCCTCAGTGCTGCATAGCACTCCATTGTGTGTATGCACCTCAGCTTGTTAAACCATTCCTCTGTTGATGGACACGTAGGTTGTCTCCAACCTCTTGCTGCTGCAAACAGTGCTGCGATGAACATGGGTGTGCATATATCTGTTCCTGTCCTGGCTCTCACCTCTCTAGGATATATACTTAGTAATGGGATTGCTGGGTCAAATGGTACCTCCAGTTTCAGCTTTCCAAGGAATTGCCATACTGCTTTCCACAGTGGTTGTATCATTTCACAGTCCCACCAGCAGTGTATGAGAGTCCCAGTCTCTCCACATCCCCGCCAGCATTTGTTATTTTCTATTTCATTGAACCTTGCCATCAGTGCTGGGGTGAGAGGGTATCTTGTTGTTTTGATTTGCATCTCTTTGATGGCTATTGATCATGAGCATTTTTTCATGTATTTGCTGACCACCTGAATATCCTCCTTGGTGAGGTGTCTATTCATGTCTTCTGTCCATTTTTTAAATGGATTGTTAATCCTTTTGCTTTTGAAGCATTGGAGTTTTCTATAAATCTTAGCGTTAAGTCCCTTGTCAGATATGTAATTACCGACAAATATAAATTTGTTGCTGTCATTTTGTTATGTGCTTTTTTGTGGTATTGGTTTCTTTGTTCCATATAATTTTCTGTGCTGAGCTCGTTTTGTTTATGAATCATGCTATCACTTCCTTCATTGTTATGTTTCAGTATTTGCAAAATGTTTATGCTGGTCTTCTTTTTTATTTTGATGTGAAGGTTTATCATTTTTCTTTGAGGTTACTCTGTGATTTATAGTTTTCTCCCCAAGTTTAGAACAGTCCATTCTATCTTGTAGTTGTCTTGACTTCCCTACCATTTAGAAGTTCTTTAACTACACAATTTTTTCCCTCTTTTTGGTTTATAGTTGTCCTCATTTGTCACTTGATGTTGTGGTTCCCTGTTTGCAATCTTTTAGGCTTATTTACTTTGGATACTTCTATAACTAGGTTGGTTTCTGGGTTATGTCATCATTTGTGTTAATTGTCAGTTGTTGTTGGCTGTTGTTGGTTCTCTGTCCAAAGGACTCCCTTTAGCATCTCTTGTAAGGTTGGTCTGGTTTTAACAAATTCTCTTAATTTCTGCTTATCTGTAAATGTCCTAATTTCACTGTCATATTTGAGAGACAATTTTGCTGGGTATATAATTCTTGGTTGGAAATTTTCTCTTTCAGGGTTTTATATACCATCCCATTGTCTTCTCGCCTGCATGGTTTCTGCTGAGAAATCTGAGCTTAGTCTTATTGGTTGCCCCTTGTAGGTAACTTTTGTTTTTTCCTGTGCTGCTTTCAGGATTTGTTCTTTGTCTTTGGTTTTGGTGAGTTTCATGATGATATGTCTTGGTGATTTTCCTTTGGGTTCTATCCTTGCAAAAAGGGCAAGGAGGCCATATCTTCTGACATCTTCTAACTGCACAAGAGGAGGACAGAATCATTAGCCCAAGGCCTATTCGTGTAAGGCCAGACATGCTGCCTCCCTCCAGCCTTTTCACAAACTGTTCCTCCCAAAGCACCCACCACCTTTCTCCTGGGTTCGATAATTCACTGCAGTGGCCACACAGAACTCACAGATTATGGAGTTTATTAGGGAAGCACCAGATTACAATTCAAGTTTGGGAAAAATGCTCAGGCTCTCTCAGCCCTCTATCTCTCACCCAACAGTCTCTTTCCCAGAAGTGCGTGTCCCTCGGTGTCTATCTCAGCAATACGTGTCTCTTGCATCTCTTTCCCAGCAGCGCGTGTCTCTCAGGAGCACGTTCCTTCTCAGCAGTACGTCCTTCTCACCCAGTAATCAGAGAGATTTCTGCCTCTAGGAGGCCTCCTTTTGAGCCTGGCAGAGTGGCCAAACTAGCCAATCATAACATCAGAATACTAAGCACCTGAGAGAGAGCGAACCTCCCAGAACATTGCTTTGTGCCACTCCCCACAGAAATACACCACATGGATAACATTTATAATCAGGAGCTCCTCAGTTGCTCACAGCAAATTCCACCATGGAGTTTACAAAGACTTATGGCTAGAAAGGCTATGCCAGGTAATTTACCACATCGCAATCCTGTTTGGGGTTTGCCGGACTTCTTGAATGGATATATTCTCATCTTTCATCATAGCAGGGAAATTCTCTTCCAACAAATCTTGGGCAATTTTTTCTGTGGTTTTATTTGTCTCTTGCTGTTCTGGAATTCTGATTACATGTAGGTTATTCTTTTTGATGGTATCCCACATGAACCTTAAGCTTTCTTCATTTTGTTTTGATCTTTTTTCTGATTGATCCCTTTCCAAAGAAGTATTGAGGTATTTGTCTTCAGTGTCACTAATTCTGTCTTCCATTGATTCACATCTCCTCCTTTTCCCATTCAATGTGTTATCTATTTCTGAAAATTTATTATTAATCTTCTGGACTATTGTGTGTAGATTTTGCATCATTTCTCATTTTTCATTCATTTTGTCATTTTGTTCTTGTATTGTCTTTCGAAATTGCTGTAGGGTGCTAAAGAGGCATGGAGGCCACATCTCCTGACCTCCTCTAACCCCACAAGAGGAAGACAGAATCACCATCAGTAGCCCAAGGCCTATTCCTGCAAGGCCAGACATGCTGCCTCCCTCCAGCCCTTTTACCAACCATTCCTCCCACAATACCCACCACCTTTCTGCTGGGTTCGATAATTTGCTGCAGTGGTCACACACAACTCACAGATTATAGGATTTATAGGGATGCACCAGGCTACAATTCAAGTTTAGGAACAATGCTCAGTCTCTTTCAGCCCACCGTCTCCTAGCCAACAGTCTCTGACAGTGTGTCTTCCACCAGTGTGTGTCTCTCGGTGTCTCTCTCAGCAATGTGTGTCTC